CTTATGATATCCCCCCCCCCCCCCGAGGTACAGCAATGTCTGGACAATTCGGTAGTAGCACTCGTAGAAGTATAAGGAGTAGTATCGTAGATGACGTAAGATAACACACCCCCGGTAACGATTTTCAAAGCTCGATGTCCGTCAAAAGAATGATGTTGTGCATTCAGTAGCGGTACAGAACGCGCTGCCCACTTGGACAACAGCAACCCAGGAGTTGAGAAGAACCCAGACTCAAAGCAAGATTAAGATTGCCCCGTACGGCAAGCGACTCATGCTTGTTTCTCCCTCTCTCCTGGTGTTGTGCCGGGGAAAAATATGATGTGCGGTGAACGCAGAGGTCGGGCCTGATGACGCGGCTGGGTGAGGACGCCGCGAGCCTGAGCGGGCAGGAGCTTGGACAGCGAGAGCTTGCCGACGTGGCGAGGCGCAGGATAGCACGCAGCGGCAAGCCTCCCCTCATGACCGAGGTATGCATACGTGGCTACTGTGACACGGTGGTCCTGAAGTTTTCCCTTTTGGGGTCGTCTCGACCGCCTCCCTGGCGTGATGGAAACGCAGAGGATGTTGGTTCCGGTGCAATGAAGCGTCGTGGTAGGGTCTGCCTGTCTTGTCCTTCTGTCTCTGTCTCTTTGTGTGTCTGTCTGTCCTTCTCTCGTCTTGTCTGTTCAGTCTCTCTGTCTGTCTGTCACGTGCCTGGTTCCAAACGGGATACGGGATCGACTCATTGAAAGGGGTCCCGCCCAATGCGCCCCCCCCTTCCACGTCAAATATTTTCAGTAGATTTTGCTGCCGGACTTTTTGCGTGTCTGACCGCTTTTTTCGCTCATTCAGCTTTGATATATCTTCTGCCACAACTCCAACGGTTGGTAGCTCGCTGTTCCTCTTGAATTCTTTGCAGGTAATGAAGTGGCGGGCGCAGGCGCAGTACAGGTCTGACGCCGTGTACAACAGGGATACCATCTTCGACGAGGAAGTCGCGAACCAGGTAGATGGGGCGGTCGGCAGTGTGGGTAGACGCACGCATACCCACTCCCTTCCGTCGGCGCGGATTGTGTTTATTGCTACACCTCTGTCCTCTACAGTACCACTCTCCAAGCAGACGCACGAATACCGTAAATGACACAAGATAAAACACCCCCTGGACCGATTTTCAAACCTCGATTTCTCAACAACAGAAAGAGTCACGGCGCCGAAAACGGCGGCGTTGGAACCGTCTCGTCGAGAGTTTTCCAAAAATGTATCGTTTCGTTTATGCATCCTCTTCGTCGTGGAGTAGTCGAGCTTTGAAAATTGGTCCAGGGGGCGTGTTATCTTGTGCATGTACAATAGTCACGTCTATCTTCGCGGATTGTTTCGTTGCCGCTGTAGACCCGTGTCCTTGTAGTACGCTTCAAGTTGCTGCCACGGTTTTTGGTGGACGTGTCCAGTGCTGTTTGTAGGTCGACCTCTGCGAGGAACTCTTGCGTAGTCGCCGGCCGTCCACGCCCGGCCGGAGGATGTGTGTTGCTTGGCGGCCTTTGTCCGCGGTGATGGGCGGGCGGTGGCAGATATCGTGTGCACGGAATGTAGCACAGCAAGCACTTACTCCGGTCGCGAACGATGCACCCCCCGGTCGACGACGATGCCCAACCAACCCAATGGTGGCATTTCTGGTTGGGCTTTCAAACTCAAGGATGACGATCAGCTTCTGTTTGGTTCAGTCTCGTAACAAAGTAGATGGCCTGGGGCGGCGAAAACACGGCGTGTATCGCTCCGTCCCGAATGCGAGGTCTATGGTCTGATACCGACTACGGCACACGTATAGATGAGCTTGGTGATGTGAGAGCCTGGCCCGGCGAGAACCCGGCGCACTCCGTCCCGGCTTTGCAGGGGTACGAGGTCAATGTCTAACGACTACGGCATGCACGACGAAGAGAGTATCCTCCCCCCCTCCTGCCCCCGCTACCCCTACAGGTTGGGATCTCTTCCTCCTCGGACATCCACCCCCTGTTGGAAACCAACGCGGTGGCGTCGATAACGGGCACGGGGACCGGCGGCGCCGGCGGCGCCGGCGGCAGTGGCGCCATCATGGCCATCGCCACCGCCGACATCTTGTCCGGGTGGCACCTGTGGGACTGGGTGGCTAGGGTGGAGGCGTTGTGCGAGGATCAGCGTGTTTTGGTGGCAAAGGCGGCGGCGACAAGTGGGGGGAGTTCTAGCGGCGGAGGCGGCGGAGGGGGAGAGCCCTTTTTTTTGGGGGGGGGGGGGGGTACACGAGGGGGCGAGAGCAGGAGTAACCGTTGGGAGAGGACGGACTTGGTCGAGAGAGGGTCTCATAGCTCATGGCCTCGTCGCTTGTTGCGGTTCGTTTTGTTGGGAGTCTCTATCTAGGTGTCTAAGTGCGAGGTACAGATCGGCGCCCTGGAAGAGTTCGCGCTTTCCCTCTCTCTCTCTCTCTGTCTGTCTCTGTCTCTCTCTCTCTATCTGTCTGTCTCTGTCTCTCTCTCTCTCTCTNTCCCCCTGTTGGTGGTGTGACTCGTCGTGGACTGTGACCTATATTCCCTACCGGCCGCTGGTGTTGCGGAGTCAGAGAATGAGAGGAAGGGGTGACGCCGATTGCTCCATGTACGGCTTTGTATTGTTGGTAGCAGTAGAAGACGTCTCTGGAAATCTCTCTCGCCAACTCGTCGAAAACAATCGCTTGCACAAAGAACCCACATTCTGCGGACACGACTTTTATTTCCTTTGATCGCTCGCCTGCTCCTTCCCTTGTTTCTCTCAGCCGCATGACTTCGTCTCTTGCGGTACCCATGCCGTTTCGTGAGTCGGCCAGCGGCAACCCCAACGCGAGGAGGGAAGCCGAGTGGGACAGCGTCGGGATCATCGACGCCGGCGTCCTCGACCTCGTTGCCGAGGTAGGTAGAACGACCGAGCCCGTAACTCCTCTCGCTGCTGCTGTCTGTGTCATTGCCGAGGTAGGTAGAAAGACCGAGCCCGTAACTCCTCGCTGCTGCTGTTTGTTTCAGTTCTACTTGTCTAGTAGCTGTAGTCGCTGTGGGTCCTCTGTAGGGCGGGTGCAACCCTATCTTGGCGTACAAAATAGGTTCACGCTACTGTTTTTGTTCTCTGAACAGCTAGGGCGAGTGCCCACCCTAGTGTGGGCGAATCGGACGTGGACATACCCGCCCCATAGAGGGCCCACGACGTTTGTAGCATGAGCATTGTTATTTGTAGTAGTTGTGGTGAGGGTGAGGGTGAGGGTGAGGGTCGTCGTCATTCTCGTCGTTGGGGTTATGGACTGACCGTCACGCGCCTCTATAACGGCAACTATTGGTGCAACTCCTCCCGCGGTCATGTGCCTGTGTCGTCGTTCTCGTTGCTGTTGTATCTTGACCGCCACCCGTCTCTATAACGGCAACTATTGGTGCAACTCCTGCCGCTGTCACCTGCCTGTGGGCGGGTAGGCGGGTGGGCGTGTTTCTGGCGATCGCTTCTCCCTCAGCGCCCGAACCACGGGTATCGCAAAGGAAGAGCTAAGCCCCCCACCCACCCCTGCCGCCCCAAACCATGGAGGCTTATCTCGCTGCTGAATGTCAGACAAGAGACGTCGGAATCCCTCCATGGGCCATATCGTTGTTCTTGCAATCCTTACGTGAAGTATCCGACGTGGTACCCCCCCCACCTACCCGCCTCTTCGAATGCACACGCAGGAGTTCGAAGCGCAGGACAGAAGCGGCAGCTATCCCGCCGCATCTCCGCTCGCGACCCCAACCCAACGCCGACACCCGGCGCTCGGGTGCCAGGTGTTCCACAGCCCGGGGAGGGCTAGGGCTGTCCGGGCGTGCGGGTGGGGGGGGCGCAGCAAGAGGGGCGACGGAGGAGGTGGGGGGGTTACAGAGGGCTTCGCGTCCAACAGCAAGAGGCTAAGGGAGGTGCGTTCTTGGGAGGTCGCCGGGCCCATCCATGCAGGCGTGTTGCTGCTTGTCGTGTTAGGCGATTTGAGTTATTTATCTCGGGAAGAGCCTTTGCGGAAAAGTCGCAACAATATTGTCGTCGCGGGGTGCGAGAACGAAACGGGGGAAGGAAGGGGTATACGAAATCCTCTCTCTCTCTCTCCCTCATTCGCGTCCCCCCCGCCCCCGGCCCCTCGGAATATGCTTGTGGTGAGATGAGGGTTGCAAAAGCTTCCTTCGAAGTCACTGGTCTAGCTACATGGTTACCGCATGAGTGTACATGAGAACTCTCGCCCCCCCGCCGTCGTTCGTGTTCGTGGAATCGCCCATTTTTTTCGTGACGTGATTTGTTCTTGTCCTTGTGTGTCCAGTGCCTCGGCGTGCCCGGCGGGCTCGGAGAGCTGATGCGGGAGTGCGAGGAGCAGCGTCAGTACCCTAGGTCGGCCGCTTTGGCCGTCTTCCACGGCGACCTCAGGGCGGCGGTGTCGGTGAGATTGTGTTGTTGTTGTTGTTGCTGTTGTACCACCCGCCGGATAAACTGTTGCTACTGTCGCACAATACACGCTCGTTGTTTCATCTTTGTTGCTCTCCTCCGCTTCGAACCGCTTCGGTCAGGCCCTTCGTCGTGCCCATGACGTGACGAGCCGGGAGCTGCAAGCC